GAGATGCACCTTCGCTCTCTGTTGATGGTGAATCATTAAATTCCCCGGACTGGAAACCGCAGACCGAAGACTCTTAATTTTTCTCACTCTTGGCCAAGTGTAGCCTTCCTGCCAGAGTGTAGATCGTAAAACTAATGGCATCTTTGAAGGTTATAATCTTTTTGCATTAGTCACATTTCCGAAACTGGGCTGGAATAATTCTTTAACGTGGGCAGTTAAAGTGTCATGAGTCGGCATTCACAATTTGATGTTTCCTGTGTGTTTTTTTAAATTCATATTTTACCTCATCAACTAGATTTATGACCTTCTCTTCAGTTTAAAGAATAAATTCGATAGATGGAGAACCTGAGTTTACAATTCCCGAAAAGGTCTGGGGTTGAGGGAGGTTCTGAGGCAGTGGAAAAGGCCCCCAAGTCTGCCTTGCTCTCGTCAGCAAAACAGCCTGGCTTATTGGCAGGGCTTGGAGGAGCAGACTGGTTTCCCACTTGGCTCCCGTTAACCCTGCAAAAGCAGCTGGACAGTTAGCTAGACAGCTAGACAATGGCAAGCTATGTGGTTTTAGCTGGTTAGACTCCGGCAGTTACCCCAATGGATCTATTTCCCCTGTTGGTTACTTCAGATTATTATTGGTCTAAGTTTAATTTCATTGGGTAACGGCACTGCTTTACCGACCGTAAAGTCACAGTCGATCCTAGTCTGTGCTGAGTTAGTTGAGGTGTGGGTGGCCGTGACCTTCAAAGCATGTGGGACGCATCTTCTGGAGAAAAGGAAGGGGCTAAAGAGAAGAAAATTGGACCTCAAAAAACCCCAAACAAGATAAAAAATATTCTGCTCTCCAAAATAATAAGTGAAAGCAGGACCCTGGAATTCTTAAATGTTTAAATTATTATTAATTATTCCACTTTTCAAAGAGATTAGTCACTTCAAACAAAAATCCAATTGTCACCTCACTTCATATGACTGACTTTCAGAAGTGAAGAGTGCTTTTCTGCATGCTGAATAAGAAATGTCTGTCTGAACGATGAGCTCAGCGGTTTTGTGTGACGGGGGAATGCACTGAGGTGTTGGAGACATCTTAAACGATGAGATTCAAGTGTCAGCTGAACTCTCGGGCATATTGCACTTATGTTGAATGGAATATGTGATCAGTGGTGCAAAACGTCAGCTCTTCTGATGGCTCAGCTGGTAAAGCTACCACCCAGAGTGGTCCTCAGCCCATATAGACCAACTGTAATGTCTCCCTGCTTGATGCTGAGTTAGTTACTTGCTGATGTGAGAAGCTGACTACCTGTGGCCTGAAAACTAGATTAGGGAGGGTTTGTCTAGGTAGATGTTTGCTGCAAATGCCCAATCACTACATTTTATCCTAATTCCTGTACTCTTGGAGACAATCCAACGCTGTGATAAGACAAGAATTATTATTATTATTATCGCTACTGATCATTAAAGAGAGACCCTCTACTGCAAAATGTGTGGTATCTGGATATAATAAAAATAGTAATCCTTGCATTTGATATAGCATCTTATCACATCTTTGAGATGTCTCAAAGCGCTTCACTTTGTATAGTGTACATAAAATGTACACTATACATTTTATAGTGTAAATGGCCTAGATAAGATTCAATTTGTTTTCCTTCTCCTTTCCCTCACTTGTGTTTTTTAAATTTGGAAAAGGCAAGAGCACAGTTGTGAGGCTGAAAGATGGTTAAGAATTGGTGGTCAGGTAATGGTCAGATGAGTGTAGAGCAAAGTAAGACTGAGGGGAGAAATTCCACTCCCTTGAAGTCCTGAGACAATGTAGAGGATGTGGTCATCAGGAATTGAACAGCGTGAGGATGCAGGGGCGGGCGCAGAGCGACAGATTTTGATCTTGATGAGAAGAGAGATTAGAGAAATTATAATGAAAGCAGAGTTTGGAGGCCAGAGGTGAAGGACTGTTGAATGATGAGTGTTTTCTTGTTTGCTGTGCAGGAGATTCCTGTCAGGTGGAATTGCAGGTTTCATTCGACCCAATGGACAACAACAAATTACATTCGAATAGCGCTCAGGATTGGAGGGTGAAGGGTGGGGGGGGAAGGAAGGTGATTGAAGGCACGGTCGAAGAGGTGGGTCTTGAAACGGGTCTTGAAGGAGGCAAAGGCGGAGGGACTGCGGGATGGAATTCCAGAAGTATATAATTCATGTATGGATTTAAAAAATAACACATTTCACTCTCATTCTGCATTCCAATTTGTACATGACTGCACTGAGCTCTCTCTGCTTGGCATTTCCTTTGAAGATTAACATACAGTTTAAGTGGCATTGCAGGCACCCTGCTAGCCTATTTGATGTGGAGATAGTTCCCGATAATATCTGCCTGTTCTTGTTCAGTTGGATGTTAACTGAGTAAATGGGGAGGGATTGCAAATCAATGCCATTCTGGGGAAGGATCAGTTTCTCCCGAATCTATTGCCTGTCTTGTGGCTATGTGTGATTTGTCTTGTCCAATTGGATAACATTCTGCTCAAAAGGTAATAATAATAATTCTTCTGTTTGATATCACATCAAGAGGGTGTTGCAACGTACGTCACAGGATTTTATTGTGTAGATTAGGCACTGTTTACTTTGTAGGCAAAAACAGCAAGCAATTTGAACACAGCAATGTCTCACAAAGAGAAATGAAATGAGTGACTGATTTTATCTTATGATAAATGTCAGGTCCAAAATACAGAAGATAATCAAATAGAATATAAAAAGTACAAAAGAGAACTGAAAAAGGAAATAAGAGGGGTAAAGAGACTGTATGAGAAAAGATTAGCGGGTAACATAAAACCCTAAGCGGGAACCCTAAGGTATTTTATAAGCATATAAAGAATAAAAGGTTAGTCAAAGGTAGGGGTTGGGGGGGGCGTCCAATTAGGGACCAATGAGGAAATCTTGTGGAAGCAGAGGCCATGGCTGATGTACTAAATGAGGACTTTGCATCTGTCTTCACAAAAGAAGAGGATGCAGCTAATGGCACAGTAAAGGAGGAGAGGGGAGAGAAATTGGATAAGATAAGAATAAACCGAGAGGAGGTACTAAAAAGGTTGTTGGTGCTCAAGGAGATAAGTCACCCGGTCTGGACAGGATGCATCATAGGTTACTGAGGGAAGTAAGGGTGGACATAATGGAGGCTCTGGCCACAATCTTTCAATCCTCCTTGGACACTGGGGTGGTGCCAGAGCACTGGAGGGTTGTAAATGTTACTCCCCTGTACAAAAAGGGGCAGAAGGATAAACCCGGTAATTACAACAACAACAACAACAAGATTACATTTGTGCAGCGCCTTTCACATCGGGAGGATGTCCCAAGGCGCTGGACAGAATACAGCATTTCAGACCCGAGCTGAAATGACTACATTTCAATACAATTCAATACAATAGCTGACACTACAGGTCAGTAGTGGGGAAACTTCTAGAGACTATAATCAAGGATAAAATAAATTTTCACTTAGAAAAATATGGGTTAATAAAGGACAGCCAATATGGATTTGTTAAAGGCAATTTGTGTCTAACAAACCTGATAGAGTTTTTGATGAAGTAACGGAGAGGGTGGATGAAGGCAGTGCAGTTGATGTAGTTTATGTGGATTTTTAAAGGCGTTTGATAAAGTGCCACATAAGAGACTTGTCAGCAAAATAGAAGCCCCCGGTATTAAAGGGACAGTGGCAGCGGATACAGAACTGGGAGACAGAGAGCAGAGAGTGGTGGTGAACGGTTGTTTTCTGACTGGAGGGAAGTGCAGTGGTGACCCCCAGGGATCAGTATTGGGGCCACTGCTGTTTATGATCTATATAAATGACCTGGACTGGGGTATAGGGAGGACAATTTCCAAGTTTGCAGATGATACTAAGTTAGGAAAAGTAGGAAACAGTGAGGAGGAGAGTAGCAGACGGCAAATGGACATAGACAGACTGGTAACACGTGGCAGATGAAGTTTAATGTGGAGAAATGCGAAGTGATGCATTTTGTGAGGAAGAATGAGGAGCGGCAATATACGCTGATGGTACAATCTTAAAGAGGGTGAAGGGACAGAGAGACCTGGGGGTCATATAAGTAAATGTTTGAAGGTGGCAGGACAGGCAGATACTGTTAAAAAAAACATATGGGATACAAGGCTTTATAAATAGGGGCATAGAATACAAAAGTCAGGAAGTTATGATAAACCTTTATAAAACACGGGTGAGGCCTCAGTTGTAGACTGTGTTCAGTTCTGGGCCCCACACTTTAGGAAGGATGTCAAGGCATTGGAGAGGGTGCAAAGGAGATTGACCAGAATGGTACCAGGAATGAGGGACTTCAGTGATCAGGAGAGGCAGAGAAGCGAGGGTTATTCTCCTTGGAGCAGAGAAGGTTAATAGAAGTTTTCAAAATTATGAGGGGATTCGATAGGATGAACAAGGAGAAACTATTTCCACTGGTGTGTGGGTCGGTAACTTGAGGACACCGATTTAAAATAAAAGAAACAGAGAGGAGTTGAGGAGAAATGTTTTCACACAGCGAGTTGTTTCATTGCCTGAAAGAGTGGTGGAAGCCGATTTGATAACAGCTTTTAAGAGAGAATTAGATAATTATTTGGGGAGGATAAATTTGCAGGGCTATGGGGATACATTGGGCCGAATGGCCTCCTTCTGTGCTGCATAATTGTATGAGTCTATGATGTGGGTGATAGTTAGAACTGGGGAAAACCCATCCCGTTTTGAGTAATTGAGGGATCATTAACATCCACCCGAACAGGTGATTCAACAAAGTCCAGTGAGAAAGCGGAAGTTAGACACATGGTTTTTGAAATGCCCAGAGGAAGGAGGAACCCTTGTGTGGAGTTTGACTGATTGAAGTGGCAGCTATGTGTATGGGGAAGCCATGCTAATTGAAACCCTCTACTGCATAATAATTATACACAGTATGTCTGTACACAGCAGAAATCCTTCTCACAATGAAAGGTTTGATCACTGACTTTTTGTTTTGTCTCTTTCTCAGCTTTGGGGAATCCCCTCGGGAGAGCTGCTCATGTCCGTCCTGTTTGATGTGGGGATCATGGCGGTGACCCTCGATCCCTGCGAATATTACCTCTTCTGTGGTGGCAACGACGGCTCCATCTTCCAGGTCAATCTGTTTGCGGGGGTGAGTGTGTGAGTAACGGCTGTTAATCTAAAGCTAATTTGTTTTACAAGAAATCTTCAAAGATGCTTTTAATATATCTTTTCAAAGAATTATGTTTGAAGTTGGCTTTCAAGCCTGCAGTTATTTTTCTGCAAGAAATTGCTTATATTACTAATGAAGTGCCTGAGGCTGCCATTGAAGACTGCAATAGATAGGGATTTTTTCCCCTCATGCTGCTTTGTGTTTCTCTTTCTGCCTCTCACTTTCCTTCCCCCTTCTCCGAAGCCACCTCTCCCCTATGATGGCTCCTGTTTGGGGCTCTGGGTACCTGAGGCGTTCACACCGTAGGTGAGCATCAGAAGATTTGGCCTTTGGCTTTTGCCAACCTGCGCCTAATACTTTCCGGAATTAAGTAAGCAGGATGCGTCCCTTAAGGAAGAGCAAGAGAGAGAGAGAGCGCATTCCATTCCAACGGTCTATCTCTGGGATTTACATGTGTAGGTGGGATGCATGGAAATCTCAGCTTGGTTTGGATACTCTTAAGCACCGTGATGGGTTTCCACACGTGTCGGGACACCCCTCTCCCAAGAAAAGATTTGGGCAATTGTGGTGGCAAAAATTAAGCTGGAATGTGCATTACGTTTGTATTCATTTAAACATTCGCGGCTCAGAGTTGTTAACGATTCTGTGCGACTGAAAATTTCTGCCCCTCCCCCTTCCCAGCAGCCAATAACACCTATCAATTGCTGACTAATAAAGTTCGGTTATAATAATGTTCATGATCCTTGTGTTTGATATCACAACTTTCATGTCAGGAGGATGTCTCTCAGGATTTACTGAAAAGTGTAGTGACTGTGTGCTTTGTAGGTGAGAGCAGGGGTAGCAATGTTCCAATGGTTATTCTGGGCTGGTCCCAGCTGGGAACCTGGCAGGTCAGACCGGCTAGTGCAGCAGCTTGGCTTCCGCTGAGCCCAGCGGCTTCTCTGTGTGGAGTGGGCTTTAAAATCGTGTGGCTGGGACGCATCATTTGGTTTATTGGAAAAATGAAGCTTTCTGCTTGCTCCTAATAGTGAGAAAATCCAACTCCCAGCACTCCTATATACCTGGCCCGCAGGAACATGCAAGTCGGAGAGGTCAGAGCAGAGTTTCTATGGGTTGCGTTTGAGGAGGCACTTGCTGTTTCTGGACGGAGTTCCAGTTTCCACAACTCTGATTCCCATTAAATATAGCAAACTCAACCTTGTCATTGCAATGAGGTTTAGCAGATCAGTGATGTTTTTCTGAGTGGGGCAGGCTGTCCCTGATGGCTATGTTTTGTGCCTTGTTGTTGACTCAGTTCCGCTTTGTATAAGCATTTTGCCTTTTCCCCCTAGAGAGGCTGTGTATTCAGTGCTGGAACATACACTCTGCTAGTTTTCATAATGGCTTTGTTAAGACTTGCTGCTTCTGCATTTAATGTGGATTCCACCTGGGGATTCCACCTTGCTCTGGGGCTTGGGGTAGTGTAGAGAACATTTAGAAACTTGATCCGTACACAAGGGAGAAGGGAATAGAGAATAGCGTTAAAGAGGGACAATATGTGAATATTTACAGTGTGACGGGGGGGGGGTGAGCTTCTACAGCATGATGATGTGCAAACGTTCACATGGTCGCTTGTCCAGCCTCTTCCCCCGGTTCTCGGTTAGAAGCACCTGGTCAAGAGTTCAATGAAGTGCGAGTACCTTGGGGTATTTCTACCATCCATCTGTACTGAAAAGCACCAAGAGCTACTGTTCTAGTTTTCTCTCTATCTCTGACTGCCCTTCCCACCCACCCCCAACCCCCCAACCTCAATGTTTTAAGCTGCGTACCATAGGGCAGAGTGTTGGTGAGGTGGCAGCCATTGAGGGCACAGATTTGTACTGGAGTAAAACAGATTGGAGTGATTTATTTATCTGAGTCCAGAATACAGTATCAGTGATGACACTGAATTCTGCCACTGCAGGTAGCCTTTTAGTCAGTAACTTTTAAGTGGATGGACATGTTTACTGATGATGGGTATCTGGCATTGGTCAGTGAGGCCTTCCTACCCTGAATTGAATTCTAACCGTTTGTGAGACATTTGGTTTTGGGACCTGGTGGAATCTGTCTGCCAGTCACTTGGGCGAAGAGTTTCCTGGGTTGACCAAAAATGTCCCAAATGGAGTTGATTTGGGCAGCGTCGATCATCACACAAAGGTGGCCATGAATTGTCAAACTTGCTGAGCCTGGAAAACTTTCTGTTGCTGCTCAGTGGCTATAGCGTTTGTCTCTCCCTGTGTGCTTCGGTGAAAGTGATTGTATTATCCCCATCCCTGATCCCTTCAAAGAAACTCCGTTAATGCTACATTTCTTCAATGTTCAGAAAGCGATACATAATCTTTGAAAATAATGATAGATTTGTTCAAGCACATTAGCAGAGATGTTGGAAGGCCTTATACTTCAGCTACAGGAAATTTCACTTTAGGAGGACATCTCAAAGTGCTTAACAGGATAAAGGGTAGTGCCTGTGTGTTTTGTGGGCGAACCCAACAACAGCTTTTATATAATACCTTTCGTTTCGAGAGGATGTCCCAAAGTGCTGGACAGTCGAAGGTTTGCAATCGAGCTGGGGGTTGAATTTGGAAGGGGTAGGGGCCAAAGTGGATGAGAGATAGGAAGATGACTGAAGGTGCGGTCAAAGAGGAAAGTTGAATGAGGGAACGGGTGAAGTTTCAGGAAGGCTAATAGCCAGATTGCTGATGGTTGTTAGGGTTTTAGAAGGTCACAGAGGTAAGGGTGGGGCAAGCCCGTGAGTACAAAGATCTTGAACTCGAGCCTCTGGGGGATGGGGAGCCAATTTGTCCAGAGGTGAGGTGTTGTATTGAGGTTCTGTCTGCCTGTTTTACCGGGTCCTCATTTTAAAGAGCAGAGAGTTCTCCAATATTCAGTCGCTCCTTCAAAATTCACCCAAACTGGCTGAATTGGTTGTGCAGCTCATTCGTTATGTGTGCTGAATCCGTCAACATAAGAGCACTTCAAAGTAACTTTGTGTGTGAAACGCCTTGAGATGTTGCAACATCAGAAGGATATTATTTATGTACATTCATTTCCATTTCATCTTTTGTAAAAAAAATCCGATATTAACTGAGAAAAGCAAAATTAGTCAAACCGAAGAGTTCAGATTGACATTTGGCCTTTGTTCCATAAGGTCTGAAACAACAATCACACAAATATTCTGCAAACTGAATTTTCATTCTAATAAATTGATTTGAGGGGTTGCAAAATGCTGATCAGAGCAACAACAACAAACTTACATTTGTAAAGTGCCTTTCACGTCGGGAGAATATCCCAATGTACTGAGCAGAAGACGGGAAGCATGCAGTCTGCTGTTGGTATAGGCTTGGCTGCTTCCCCTCTCCTGCTCTGCTCTGCATTACTCTATTCGTGAGCCTAATGGTAGATGAGCTTTGAGAATTTATTTTTAATGCACTAACCTTGTTCTTTTGCCAGTCGTCACAATAAGTCTATTTCTTATTGATTTAATAAGATGTGCTTCCAAGAGCTTGCACACTCTGGGGCAGTGCATACAAAAAAACTCAGCATTTTGGTCCAACAGGTGGTCCTCTCAACTCCATTGCTCATGCCCACTCTCACTCACACAAACAATCTTGATTCTCCCTATCTTATTGAGAGTGCTTATTGCTGTTCAGATATTTCTTCCTTCCAAACTCCAAATACACTGACCTTCACTACATCCTCCCTATTAATTAATAAATATTGCATTGGTACAGAGCTTTATCGCACTGAAACATCTTGAAACACTTCACCCAATTAGTTTCTGTCTTGTCTCGAAGTGGTATGTAAATGATTAAAGACATCTACTTGTTGCCAAGAATGAGATGAATGACCAGGTTATCCATTTGTGGTTTGGGTTAGTTTGGTTCAGGGTAAAATATTGATGGACTGAGAATTCTCTGTTCTTCATGATAGTGCCATGGGATTTATAATGTCCACCAGACAAGGCAGACGGGATCTTGGTTTGATCTCATCTGAAGCATAGGATGTGTGACAATACAGCGTTCCGTCAATACTGCACTGGGTGTCAAACTGATCCATTAGGTTAAATCATGAACCCACAAACTTCTGTTGCATGGAGAGTAAATTATCATCCTTAGCTGGGACTACAATTCTGGGACTACACGTCCCTCCAGATCCATATTACGTCGTCTCAGCACCCACAGAAATGGCTGATCAAGCTACTTCGTCAGGGCCAGTGTCACACACGTCTAAATTGCTTGAAACTCCATTTTATTGCATAATCTTGGGTTAATTGACCAGCAGGAGCTGTGTGGGGTTGGTGGTGACAGTGTCCATATAATAACTTATTGAATTCACTACCCCAGAAGGCTGTAAATGCTCAGTCCTTGAACATTTTCAAGGCTGAGACTGATAGATTCTTGAAAAATAGAGGGAATAGGGGATATGGGGATAGGGCAGGTAATCAGAGTTAGGTGAGAAGATCAGCCATGATCTTATTGAATGGCGGAGCAGGCACGAAGGGCCGAATGGATCCTAATTCTTTTGTTCTTAGGAGCCCTGCTCCTAATTCTTATGTTCTTATGTCCTTATGTTCTTATAACTGGGAACCTTCCACCGAACATAAGAACATAAGAATTTGCTGATGAAAGAAGACCAAGGTCCATCCAATTTGCCTTCCACTATCCTGGCAGTCGCTTGACATGTTGTATCCCAAACTATAATAATAATAATAATAATCCTTGCATTTGATATAGCGCTTTTCACGTCGGGAGGACGTCCCAAAGCGCTTCACAGAACACACTGTAAAGTGAATTTATTTATCTATATACTGTATCCCCAGATATTATTTTCTAACAAATAATGGCCTCGCCAATCTCAAGCTTTTGTGGCTTTCGACCTTTGCGTTTAAACCTTTGATGGTAAATGTTCCGAATGAAACTCTTGGAGCCCAATGCACTCGCTCATGCACTTGCAGTACTTTT